AGAAAGAAAGAAAGAAAGAAAGAAAGAAAGAAAGAAAGAAAGAAAGAAAGAAAGAAAGAAAGAAAGAAAGAAAGAAAGAAAGAAAGAAAAGAAAGAAATCCTATTGGTTTTATTTCTCTGGAAATCCCTGACGAATACAAGCTCTCTGCACCCAGACATTGCTACAGAGATATGAATGTTGTTCCCACGTGTAGAATATCCAGCTATACCTCAAACATATTGGTGATTCCATCAATCAATGCCTTTGCCTTTAATTAGTGACCACACAGTTATGTCAGTATCCTTTCTTGGCTCTTTAAAGATGTTTCCTCACCATTTGATATGACTGGGGAAAACAGTCTATTCAATTAAATAGTAAAGTTGAGGACTTAATTATAATTATTATCACTGAAAATAACAATTCCTTCAACATTGGTAGTCCATGTGGCATGTATTAACCAGAAGATTTAATGAGCTTACCCTACCTCTGACCTTGCTAGTTTATTGCATTCCCTTTCATTACCACCCTTACAGCTGACGCTCTTACATTGGTTGGTGTCATTTAAACCGGGCATTGCTATAGTACTAGGAAGCATCACCATTGCCTGAACAGCAACTGTGCCAGGCATTTTGCTAAGCACTTTTCAGGGAATACCTCGATCACCTTTCACAAGATCCCTGTGAAGTAAATAGCATTATTATCTTCATTTTTATGGATGAAGAAACTGAACCACAAAAGATTGTCACTTGCCCAAGATTATACAGGTAGAAAGTTGTCGAGGCAAGAATCAAACATATTTCTATGCATTGAAGAGACCCAGAGTAAGATATTCTTATTAGGTGTGAGTATGCATTGGTTAAATTCTAGAAGTGTTTATAATACTCTCTTGCCTGTGCAATTTCATGAGAATTTCGAGTCATACTAAATGAGATTTTTTACCCTTTGCAAAGATGAAGTAGGCCATGAATTTCTATTTGGCTAATTTTTTTCTTTTAACTTTCAGCATGTTATTTCTTTCTGACATTTTTCCTTTTTCTGTTCTTGATAATTAAGGTCATATCTACCTGTGTACACTAACAGGATAAAGGTGTAAAAACACTGACCAATGATTTTCAAAGGATGTGGTTGCATATGAAAAGACAATCATTTAACTCTAGCTTTTTCCTTTCCCCATAAATGCAACTACTACCACAAGGCCTTAGTACTGTTCCTTTTGCAAATAATAAATGGATTCAGAGCCCTAAATCTCAATCCCTGCTTATTTGGAAAAAGAAACTCCCCCAGATTGGAAAGGCAAGTAAACCTAGAGACTAGAAGAGTAGCCCCACATTATATACTTAAGAAATGTGGGCCAAACTACTCAAGGTGATTATTGTTTTTCCCATTCCATTTCTGCATGAGTATTCACTAAGCAACTATATGTGTTTCATCTCCTGCCATGTACCTCTTATCTGCTCCCACTCAGTTTAACACTTACGTGACCCGGAGTGGGATCAATACTTTAATGAAAAGGATGGCTACCAGATGTAACTGAACACTGGGAGTTATTGTCCAACACCAGCTTACCTGACAACATTTATGCTTTCCTTTGAGCTGTATTAGTGTGCAAATGCAGAGGTTGCTGAATCTATAACGGATATATAAATTTTCAAGTGGCAACACTGAAAGGAGAAAAAATGTGTTGGATGACACAATCAGGATCCAGAGATCTGATAATGAGCAAATTTGAGCACATCTGCAACCAGGATGGTTCCCCATCCATGTAGCTTGGGTCCAAAGGATCTGAGAAGTGTCAGCTGGAAAAGACTTGGGGGCATGGGGAATGGCACACAACATCTGACTTCAAATACTGGAGGATGGGTTAACTACCCTGTGCAGGTCTCCAGCACACAGTCCTGGGACTATTGGAAACTACAGGGAGGCAAGTTTGGGCACAATTTCAAGTGGCTGAGTGATTCTATTGGACAACTGTTTCAGGCAGGAGGTAAGGTATTGCTCACCAACATGGCTGCTTCCAAGGCTACACTAAGCTCTGTGATTGTGTTACCTCATTGACACTTAATCAAAGTTGGCCCACCTACTATTTTGCTTGTGGAACTTTAAGCTATAGCAGAGAAAACAGCTTCCACTTCTATAACCCCAGAGATTATTTAAGGATGTGAGCCCTTAGGAAGGGGGAGGTAGGATAATAATTGAGATTGCAAATAGATATGGATGGTATAATCCCCTTTTGTAGAAAGATACATATATTAATAGACCACAGTCTGTATGGTTATACTGGATGGCTAACACTTCTAATTGGTGGGATTATAGGTGATTTTTTTTAAATGTCAGTGTTCTGAGCATTTTTTAAAATTTCAAAACATTAAGGGGGTACAAATGTTTTTGTTGTATGGATGCCTTGTATAATGCTTAAGTCAGGGCTTATGGTGTGCCCAACACTGCAATAGTGTTCATTGTACTCAGTAGGTAAGTTTTTACCCCTCACCCCCTCCCACTCTCTCCCCCTTCTTAGATTCCAATGAGCTTTACATCTTTTTGTACTGATGGCTTAGTTCCCAATTATTAGAGAGTACATGTGGTGTTTGTTTTTCCATTCCTGAGATACTTTGCTTAGGATAATGGTCTCCAGTTCCATCCAAGTTGCTGCAAAAGGTATTATTTCATTCCTTTTTATGGCTGAGTAATACTCCATGGTGTGTGTGTGTGTGTGTGTGTGTGTGTTTCACACTTTCTTAATCCACTCATGAGTTGATGGACACTTAGATTGATTTCACATCTTTGCAATTGTGAATTGTGCTGCAATAAACATTCAAGTGCAGGTGTTTTTATGATAAAATGACTTCTTTTCCTTTGGGTAGATATCCAGTAGTGGGATTGCTGGATCAAATGGTGTCTACATTTATTTCTTTGAGGAATCTCCATATTGTTTTCCTTAGAGGTTTTACTAATTTGCAGTCCCACCAACAGTGTATAAGTGTTCCTTTCTCTCTGCATCCATACCAACATCTATTGTTGTTTGACTTTTTAAAAATGGCCATTCTGACAGGGGTAAGGTGCATGCAAAACGTATTTGGGAGAATTATTGAGGAAAATTTCCCTGGTATCACCAGGTGATTGGTTTTTATAAATTTAAACTGATAAAAGTATTATTTAAGGGCAGGGATTGGGATATGTACATTTATGTGTATTCCTTATAGTATTAGTCACCTCAGGCTGCTGTAACAAAATACCATATACTGGGTGGCTTAAACGCCAGAAATTTATTTTCTTACAGTTCTGGATGCTAGAAGTCTCAGATTAAGATCCAGCAGGTTCAGGTTCTGGTAAGGACTCTCTTCCTGGCTTGCAAATGGGCTTCTCGCTGTGTCCTCACATGATGGAGATATCTCTCTCTTCATTCCCCCCTCTTCTTATAAGGCTTATCAGATTAGGGCCCAACCCTTACAGTCTCATTTAACCTTGTTACCTCCTAAAGACTCTATCTCCAAGTACAAACACACTGGGGGCTAGGGCTTCAACATATGAATTTGGAGAGGGGGACACAATTCAGTCCATAGCACTTATGTTCATCATGAACACCAAAAATGCTTGGTTTATAAGATAGCAAATTCTGTTCAGTATAAGAACTAGACCAGAAGTTCAGTGTTATAGGTCATTAGCAAATACGAGACATCTGAGTTTACACTTAATAGAAGATATGATGTGCTTAGTAGGATGCATGTTAACAAGTCCCCCCTGCCTGCTTCCCATTCAACCCCAGCCTTGAATGTTTCCTCCCATTAAGTTGAAAAACACTTTCCAGAAGGCAAAAGAGCCCAGCTTGAATTCTAGCCTTTATTCATCTTCAGCAGATCACTTCAGACCCTATGTTTTCATTTCTTCATTCTGACATAAGGGGGTTATCCACATGATCTCCTCTCCCAAGGTTTTCTAACTCTGTGATTCCAACTCTGAAGAAAAAGCACCTAGCAACCCCAAATCAGGACCCACTGGACCTAGACAGAGAAGACCATTTCTCATGTGGATAATCTGCTAAAGAGGTTTTCCTTCAACCATTTTGTTTGGCTGAAAATGTTACCCTTGTGTAATCCATCCCTTAGAAGACCAAGAATGAACTACAGGAGTCTCAAGATGATTATAATTGTTATTTTATTTCTACATTAGAAATGAAAATAAACTATGAGAAGTTGCAAAAGCATGAAACTTTATGAAGATTATGAAGCAACAGAGAAGGTTAAAATTGGCTTATCATATAGGAGGTACGAGGACTACACACACAAAGGTCATCAATGGTGAGATTATTGACAGCATCTGACATCTAAAATTTATGCACTGATGGGAAGTTTACAAATGAACTTAAGGGAGCATTGGCTACCCCTGAGCTCATAGCCAGGGAATATAGGTGAGAAGACATCACAAAATGCCTAAAATCTCTACAAAGACATAGGTTTACAAAAAACAAGCATAAAACCAAGACTCTCAGACAGTGTTGAAATTTGCTCTTGGGAAGAGATCTCCATTTTACGATGTTTGAACACCCTCTTTCTCCTGCTGGATAGCTGGTGGTGGGGAGGAATGAACAAAAAAAAATCATTACAAAAGTATTTTCCTAAGATTAAGTTCAGTTTCTTCCAAAAGAGCTCTTCGCTAGGTCATTGAAGGCTGCCATATATGTGTTAAACTTAGAATACCAAGGCATTACCCACATATCTTCACAGTGGATGTGTACACATGTGTATGTGCATGCTAACCACCTTAACATTAATATCTGCATTAACTGTGGGTTTTTTTCCATTTAAGAGGTAGATTTTTTCACAGATTATTCGAGACTGAGGATTAAACGAAGCATGTTATTAAGACTTATCTATCACTACACAATTAGGAAATTATACACCTTCAGATAATTTTAAATAATTTTGGAATTCACACATAATACTGACATGACAAAAAATGCCCTTCAGCTTTTGCAAATATGCTTGGAGTTTCTCCAGCAGACTGTAATTCCAGAGGGTAAAACTGATCCCTTGAGTCTGGAAGAATTGAGCATACCCAAGATCTAAACTTGTTTCCCCCCTTATCTTGTCATTAGGTAGAGAAGATCAAAATTGCAGAATTTGCATGGTTCTTTAGGGATGAGACCATAGACTCAAATTTCTAAATGTAGAAAAATGCCAAATAACCAAAAGTAGACAAAAACTAAGAATTTTTTAGTGCTAAGTCCAATATTCTAAAAGTTGCTATAATGTGGTTTTTAGTAATTTTCCAATAAGAAACCAGTTTCTTATTCCCCCATTACTACTGGGCCTCTCATGTGAGAACCACTTATATAACCCAAATAAGAAAACTATTTGGTAGTTTTAACTGTTACATTAAATACAATGGCATTCTAAATATTGCTTACTTTGTGCCAAAATTTGCTAGAACATAGGTTTATTTACTGAACCCATTAACTTTCTGCACTGTCTCTACTAGAAAGCCCCCATGACTTACTTTCCTTAGAGGGAAGAGTATTTTTTTCTTCAGTATTAGTTTTCTTCAGTTTTGACCTGTCAAACTTCTCCACTTCCGACAAGTCTGGCTTATCACTCATGTTGACTGAAAAAAAGCCTGGGGGGAAAAAAACATTTTTACAAAAACTTATCTGGCAGAACTGTCATCAGACTAAGGGTAACAGTAAAAAATTTTCACATTTAATATCAATGCATATTTTACCTGATGATTTTCAAAAGGAAAACAGCAACAGATCTTAGAAAAGTCATGTTTTTTTATTAAAATACTTTAAATTCCAAACCATTACCCCGTTTCTGATAGGCAGTACTGTAAATGTCACTAGATCAGAATACATTAGAAACCAGGATGCTCTAAAAACCCGGAGCCAATATGTCCGACTCTTAAAATCACAGCAAAGGTAAAATGGAGGTGATAGAAGCACAAGAACATATAGGAATAGATGAAAAAATAAAGACTGGGTTTAACCAGTTAATGATTTTTTAACAGGAGATAGCACTAGTTGAGCATCTTCACTTTCTAGTCAATTACTTTTTTATTTTTTGCATTTTTCTTGGGAGATGCAGAGCAGCACACACAAAAAAGAGTGACATAAGTTGTACTAATTTCTTTCCATTTCAAATGCTCAAAGACAGTGCATTGAGGTGCTACAATAAGGGAGGAAGGGGATTTAATCTGGTCATAACTAATTGCTTGTCTCATAATAGCTCCTTGTGGCACTGGTTGATAAACGCTGTAAGAAGAGACAGCCAATTGGGATCAGACCTAGGACTTCAGGAGAATGGGATAAACGAAAAAGAGTTGTGTCTTATTTCACCATGTTTTCTCTGCAAAGGGAGAGGCAAGGAGATGAGGCTCAGATGCGTGGCTGTGGACATGATGCCCTGTGAACATCCCGGGTTTGTCCAGAAGAGACAATAGGAGACCCCAAAAGCAGGAAAGCAGAGCTCTCACGCGCGTTCCTAGCCCTACCCTGGTGGAGTAAGGCACGTCCGGTGCCCGGAGTACAATGGAGAGGCCCCCAAGCAGCCAGAGGTCCCGAACGCGCCTCGGTTCAGTCTAGGTTACCCTAAGACCCTCCTTTGACAAGAGATCAGACGTACAATCTCAAAGCTGGGAAACTGGAACTAACAAATGATATCAGGGCCAGGCGCACAGACCAGTTCGTCACGAGCAGTTTGCGTACTTTTTAAAATAACTATTACTGTTGTCGGGGCCCAGCCTAACGGCCACGTGAGGGGAGGGGAGGGAGCGAGGGGCCAGCCCCACAGGGCCCATTCCGGGCGGCCCCCACAAACTCCTCCTTGTCCTCTCAGCCTCCAACCGGCACCTACCGCGGACTGGCCGTTTTGGGTGTCCGGCCCCTCGGGCCTTCCTTTTGGGGACCGACCCCGGGAGGGCTCGGCGTGGCGCGCAGAAGGCGGCGCCCCGGGAAGACAAAGGCGCGGACACGCCAGGCGGCGCAGAAGCGAGACGTCAGCCCCAACCCCGGCCCCTCCGGCTCCCGAAGGCGCGACATTCTCCACTCTGCAGCCCCCCTGCGTCCTCCCGCCCCCGTCGCCTCTGACTCCCGCGGGCCCAACGGCCTCACCTGAAGGCTTGAAGACTCGCGAAATGTCGTGGGCCGAGCTGAATCCGCCGCTCGCTCCGGACCAGGTTAGCGTTCCCGCGCAGAGCCCTGCGGTTATAAGCCCCGCAGCAGGCCCCGCCCCAGACCCCGCCCGGCCTCTCTGATTGGCCAAGGGAGCCCGGGCTCGCCTCCCGACCCTCCCTCCACTTCAGCCTTGCAGGCCTGCGTCCACTCTCTCCCCTCTTCGTAGGACCTCACCCCTGCAACAGGGGCTGGAAGACGTCAGAGCACACCCCACTTCCCCAGACCCACATCCCCAACCTCTCCCACCGCTTTAGTCCTGGGAATCCGCATTCCCTTCATCCCAAGTACATTCGCTTCTTCACAGTAACAGGGGCCTCCGCAATAAACAGGTTTTTCCCAGTTGGCTTTGAACGTCTGGAACTCTGCGGTCCAAGCTGAATGAGCCGTATTCAGCCTCCTTCGGCTTTGTATAGCCATTGGGGCCTAAGCACGCTGTGATGACCGAACAGTGGCTTGGAAGCGGGGTTCAGTGTTGTCTGTTCTAATCCTTGGCCAGGTCATGGTGAAGGTGAATGGCTCAGAGTTATTCACCCCACAGCTGGACAGTTCTGTGACAGTGATGCTCTCCTATATATATAAAAGTCACATTTTTTACTTTCTCAGCCACTGAACACAACAGCAGTCAGTTTAGAACAAGGATGGGGAACATGTGGCTTTCTAGGTCCTTAAGTGCAGCCTTTTGACTGAATCCAAATTTTATACAACAAATCCTTTTATTAAAACATTTTTCCATCTTTTATATTTTTATTTTATTTTTCAAATGTACATATTTAAAATACCAAAGAATAAAATAAGTTTTAACAAAATAATCCTCCCAGATTGACCAGCACATTTAGAACATTAGCAAGCCATAAGGGCTAAATTGACAGCTGCTACGCTCATGATTTAGTTCTGACTTCCCCCGTCTGACTGGCACCACTACCACACAGGCTGGTTGGTCAGAGTTTTTGGGCGTCGAGTCCACCAGTCTGTTATCTGCTTTTGACAGTGGTGCGCTGTGTTTCTGTTTGAAGTAGAATTTGTGAATAGTTGCACAGTTTGACAGTATTTTTAAGCTCTGTCTGCTTAATAGCCCATCATGTCAAAGAAGACCAAGAGAATGCTAAAGGAAGAAAACAGATTTTTTAGTGAGGATCTGAAATTGCAATATTATCTTGTTTCTGCTAAAGATAAGATGATTTCCTTGCTTTATGATACTGCAATATCAACATTAAAGAAATTCAGTGCTCATCAGCATTATAACACTCATAAAGACCACAAATATTTTAAATTAGAGGGAGAGGCACAAAAGGTTGTATTGCAGAAATTACAAGATGAAAAGCAAAAGCAAAGACAATTCTTTCAAACAGCAATAAGACCTGGAAATAATGCCACTGAAGCAACTTACGAAGTAGCTTATATACTTGGGAAAAAAAGGAAGCCATTCAGTGATGTAGAAATTGTGAAATAATGCATTGTCCAAGTTGTAGGATGCTTAGACCCCAATAACGTTTCAAAGTACAAACAACTGCCTCTTTCAAGGAGAACTATGACTGAACGGCAACGTGAATTAGCCTTCGACTTAACAGGGCAACTTCATGCAATAGTTCAAAAGGAAAATATATATTATTTATTCACTTTGGATGAATCAACTGATACTATTGACCTGGGGCAGGTTTTTTACTTCATTCGGGTCATAACGAGATTTTCTTTGCTACAAAGAGCTACTTGCTTTGGGCACTCTTGCAAACAGGAAACGGGGAATAAATATTTTCAACAACTTTCAAGATAAATGTCATGAAGTTGGACTGAATTTGGTAAATTTAGTAAGTGTATGTATATAGATGGCGCACCTTCCATGACAGGCAAATATGAAGGTTTTATTGCAGAGATAAAGAAAACATTAACAGATGCAGATGCTCTCATTTATTTTCATTGAATCTTGTATCAGCAAACTTTCTGTGCTAAAGCTACTATTTTAAGTGACACTTTGCAACAAGTTATAAGTATTGTTAACTGTATTCATGCAAATTCAACATGGCATTGTCAGTTTTGTAACATGCTAAAGTTGAACTATGAGGTATTCAGTGTGGATTTGCAAGGACAGGTGTTCGTCAAAATTTTATCTCTGTGAAAACAGATAGTTACATTTTATGAAGAAAAGAATTAGCAATGTGAATTATTGAAAGAAGATTTCTATCAGGCCGGGCACCGTGGCTCACACCTGTAATCCTAGCACTCTGGGAGGCTGAGGCGGGAGGATCGCTTGAGGTCAGGAGTTCGAGACCAGCTTGAGTAAGAGTGAGACCCCGTCTCTACTAAAAATAGAAAGAAATTAGCTGGACAACTAAAAATATATAGAAAAAATTAGCCGGGCATGGTGCCACATGCCTATAGTCCTAGCTACTCGGGAGGCTGAGGCAGAAGGATTGCTTAAGCCCAGGAGTTTGAGGTTGCTGTGAGCTAGGCTGATGCCACAGCACTCTAGCCCTGGCAACAGAGCGAGACTCTGTCTCAAAAAAAATAAATAAATAAAATAAAATAAATTTAAAAAGATTTCTATAGGAATGCAGCATTTCTGTGTAATATGTTAAATCAAAACGACTTGAATATTTCTTTGCAAGATAAAACTAAGTCTATATATGACATGTGGCAAAAAATCCAAGCATTTTGAAAAGAGCTATCTTTTTTCAAAACACTTCTTCAAAAGGAAATTTTGGATGAACATTTTCCCCGGTTAGCAAAGGTCATTGATGAGCAGGATGATACATGGGAATCATTTGAAGAATACACAGCTGTTATAGACTTGTTAAGTGGAGAATACAATGAAAGGTTCACTGACTTTGAGAATCATGACATCACACTCAAATTAGCATTTCAGCCTCACCTAGTTGATATCACCAAGGCACCTAAAGAACTACAAATGGAATTGATCGAGCTCTCAGTAGATGACATTTTAAAGTCATTGTTTGATGCTAAGAAAGATCCAACTGAAATATGGAATAATGCAGTAGAATACCCATGCTTTCAGTAACATGCCCAAAAAATGCTTTCTTGCTTTTCAACCGCTTATTGCTGCAAATCTACATTCTCCTATCTCACCCAAATCAAGACACCCTTAAGGTCACAAATGACTGATACTCATCTAGAGGATCAACTGAAACTGCAGACTTCCATGTTGCACACAAATATTCAAATGCTTTCCAACAAAAAGCAGACCCCACAACAAAGTCATTAAAAGGTTTGTTAACTTTAAAATTAACAAATAGTTTTCATTTTTTGAAACTATTAAGTACACAGTAGTTACATTTCTACAAAACAATGCAAATATTTAAGTATATCTAATTGAAGTGTCTTGAATGTGGCCTTATTCGATTACGGCTAAATTAATGTGGCCTTCCAACATGAAAAGATTCCCCACCCCTGGCTTAGAATAATCATGGGGCAATCTGTTTAGGCTATTCATCTTTATATCCCCAATCCCTAGCACTTTGATTGGTCCACAAGAGACATTGATTGTAGACATGTCTGTAGACTGTAGTAATAAATCCGTGATAAGGCAGAATTTTTGGACAGCAGCACCACCCAGTGTCTGTTGGAGGAAAGAAGTGAGGATCTGGTCTTTGTTGAAAGGACTAAATGTTCAAGGTCATTTTCTGGATTACTCACCCAGAGCTTTAAAGCATTAAGGTAAAATGGTGGTAAAACTATGTCTTTAGCTTGCATCCCATATTTTCCATATGGCTCATGTATGGTGGTATAGATCTACATAGATCAGAAATCACTCTATCCCACAAGAATTTTTCAAGCCTTCCCCACCTCACTCCATTCCCTTTTTTATGCTCTTATAGCACTCTTTGTTAATTTGAGAGTTTTGTATGTCTGTTGGAGAAACTTTTAAAACAGAAAGGCAACAAATAATATTTACTGAGTACCTACAGTGTCCTTGGAATTAAATATATAAACACCAATGTTCTACCACTTAGGTTTCAATGTTGTTAACATTTAGGTATATTTACTTTGTCTTGTTTTTGTTTAAGTAATGCAAATATTACAGAAAAATTGAGATTTCTTTGACCCTTGCTGTATTTCCATTCACCTTCCCACTTCCCCAGGGGTAGTCTTATCCTGAATGTGATATAGCTTTCCAGTCCATTTTTCCATCATTACAGATCTATGGGATTTCTGTTTCCAGGAGCAAAATGAAGCGTTGCTTGAACCAGTACCTCCAAGTCTGAGACCACATTCTCCACATCATTTGGGGTTGACAGGAAGTCCCAGACACCCACCTCTCCATAACCGAAACCTCAAAATGCTGCCACCCCTATTTGCCTTGAATTTATTGAAACAAATCTAATGATGACATTTATCTACATCTGTGCCAGTCCCTACCCCAACAACCCCAAGACACCTCTCAACTCCCACATTCTAACCTCCATAGGTTGTGTCCACATCCCCCCTTTAGTTCACTTCTCTCATCCCTCCCCCACTACTAAAACACAATGCGCCCTTGGTAATCCCTCTATATCCTCAACTTTTTCTCTGAATGCCCCCTTCATTGTCTTGCTCCAGCAGAAAACGGGTTCTTGCCTGAGGACTCTGTGTCCCCTGGATCCCACTCACAAGGAGCAGATGATTTTCCTCTCCCGCCACCATCATACCACAGAGCCTAAAAGTTGGGTAAGTGACTTCCTTGCTTATCATTGCTGCCTTTAGACCATTTGCCTCCCACCTCCCTAAAAACCTCCAGTTTTTGACAGCTTGTGTCATCAACTAGCCTCAATAAAGGATAATTGTTGTCATTTATCAAATTTTAACTAACCTCTCCTGATTTCTCAGAGATTTTAGCTCCTAGAACACAGTCATTCTCAATGGCATTTGTCCTGTCGTAATTCTCCGTGAGTTCATGAATAATCATTTTAAAGCCTGGTGTGGTGGTACATGCCTGAAGTCCTAGCTACTTGGGAGGCTGAGACAGGACGTTCGCTTGAGCCCAGGAGTTTGAGGCCAGCCTGGGCAACATAGTGAGAACCCCATCTCTAAAAA